CAGTTTTTTTCTAGAACTTTTAGACTAATTCTTATGGAAACAACAGAAGACGAAAAAGAGTAACAGTGAAGACGAAGGAAACTTTTGACAAGATAATAAGTTTTGAGTTGGTACACGTTAGGTACTGTTGCTTGAATGGATGGGTGGATGAATATTTGGGTAGGTTCATGAGCTTCTTTATGCCCTGAACTTTGAACCTCTTAAAAGCTTGGCAGTTTTGTGTTCCCTCAGTGTACGTATCATTACATTTTTTATGCTCGTGCTTATGAGATGTATTATCCGTCATTATCGTCGTTTTGATTTTCATTTTTCATAAAGATGGAAGAGTTATTGGCAAATGTAAAAGCGTCTTCTACTTCTAATATTTATAACGTTTTTAGTTATTTGATTAATTTTTTCTCTTTTAGTAGAAAGTGAAATGAAGCAAATTTTGATCGATTCGGTGTCTTATTTGTTTATTTTGAGACATTTAGTCATTGAGAAAATGGTACTTTTGCCATTCGATTAAATTTTGTTGTTTTGTAAATGTTCGCCGCGAAGTTACCTCCTCGGCTTACGCAGAAAATTTTAGAAAAAAACATTTTATATTAAATTTTTTTCTTTCAGGTTTTGGCTTAGAAATTATTTTTCAATAATTCCTTTCATGCAACGAAATAACTGACTGAAAGGTAAGGGTTAATTTATTTCCTTTTCTAATTTTGTTCGCTTAACTTTCAGTAATCTTTTAGTTTCAAATACTACGTTTTATTTATACTTTTAGATTTATTTTGCTGTTTGATTTTGTAATACAGCGTCTGATGTGTAGTGTGAATACAAGTGCGAACTTCTCCTTTTATACTGGGAAGATAGTTGGAGTAAATTTAGTCATAATAACCTCTTTTGAGCTTTTTTCCTATGTATGAGGAAGCCAGCTGTCAACCACCAATTTCGCTCTCGTCAGTACTATAAAATAACGTTGTTTAGCAGATTTTGAACGGGATTTTGAGGTGGGGGAGAATAAATTGACGATTCAACTTATAGATAGTTCTCCAGCGACAAATAACTGGAAAACAAGAAAGAAGAATTTTTATATTTTATATATTAGGGTTTTTTCGAGCAGCTCATTTTGTTTTATTTGGTTTATTACTTTTTATAGATATTCGAAAAACTTTCGATTCTTCTTTGGTTGATACTTGGAAGCTCGTGATTGCTATGGGCGAACAGACAATGGAAAACGTAAAGTTTTAACATATGTTTTGCTATGGTTTTAACAGTTAGAAATTTTATTTTTTTGCCTAAGACTGCCTCGTTACTTGAGGAGATAGTGACGTGTTGAGTGTAAGCTAGGAGAAACATGAAGTGCTGCAGCTGTTTCATGTCTTTTTTCTTATACAAGTACAAAAATTTATAAAGAAATAAGATGTACGTTTGTTTATTTAGCCAATTAGTTAACGCTGTTTAGTCACTAAGTCTTGTGAAACCAGTTGAATAAAATGATTGGAAGACTGTAGCAGAAGTGGTTGATCTACTTGAACAGTGATGATGGCTACGGTGATAGCGAAAAAGCGGAAAACCTGCCTTGATTTGACACAATTGATTTTTTTTTCTCTTTTTTATTCATAACGAGCTTCTTTCTCGATTTCTGTTTGTTTTTTTCTAGATTTTAACTTTTAAAGGTTTTTTCCTTTTTTTTCCTTTTTTTGTTTATTACTATTTATATGGTTATTTATTTATTTATTAAACCTCTTTCAAGCAGTTTAACAATTACATGTTGCTTATTTACTCGTTTTTGTTATTCTTACTGCACCTATCAACCAATTCTCACTGGAACTGTTTATGGAGATATAACTGAGCACTTTTTTAATATAATGTTTTTTTTTT